TAGATACACCAACCTTTCAGATATTTCCTCTAGCAGTTCCATTAGTTTAGCTGCTAGTCCCAAGCGTCTAAATTCTGGGGCTACAGATAAGGCTGTTACATGTCCATGCCATTCCTCTCTTGCCACTGATCCTTCAGCTTTCCCCATAACTTAGAAAATAAACAATTAGACGGCTTTTTAAAAAAATCTCATCACACATTATCAATACAATTTACACTAGTTTCAGATCCCAACAAACTTTTCACTCTAGGAGATAGTAAGGGCTGCAGATGCTGGAAGTCAGTGTCGATAAAACGTGGAGCTGGAGGAGCAGAGCAGGTCAGACACCATCCAAGGCGCAGGAAAATTGACGTTTCCGGTTGGGATCTTCACTCATTGTATTTCGCAAATGATTTGCAGTGTCCGATTGCTTTTACTGATTTCTTTATCCAATTTCTATATTTCGCAAACCGAATTAAAGTTTCAATACCCTAAGTGCTGTTTGTAGGATCTTATTGCAGGCAAAACAACTACAAGGTTTTCAGCTATTATGCTTCCACACAATATGGTTTGGATCAGTTTCCAATTCCTTTTCAGAAATATTGATTTATTTCAAATACTTCTCTAGCAGCTTTGGGATTCATGATCTGCTTTGAAAACTGTGTGACAACCATAGATTGGTGTAGGAATTTGAATTGTAAGTAGGAGATGCAACTTTTTAAAGAGCAACACTAGGGTCCAGACAACAACATACTTTGGAAATACCTCCCTGCCAATTTACTTTCTTTGAATCAGCTAATTAAAATAGTAAGCCACCTATGTATGAAGACTTGAGTCCAGACTACAATGCTAAACTTCTTAATACTCAAATATATGCGGAAATATTCACTGTATTCTCCTTTGATCTACTTAAACACTGTAAAATGCTTCCATTAAATCAATTAAAACTATTTTATGAAATGCAACCCAAAATTCTTACATCAAAACTAAAAATAATATGGAATTAAAACTGGTGAAGTGGGATGCATAAATTTTGAAACTGACATTTGTAGGAGAGTTCAAATGATTAAAATTAAATACTTCAATTAACTAGATAACTGAGAAATGCTTTGCATTAAGCATAAGTTGATAAGGTCGAAGAGATCCTCTTCCTAAAAACTGCTAGCGAATCTCACTTGACACTTAACAGGTAAATACTTAGCTTCTGTTTTTAATTTGCCATGCTAAATTCAAAGCATTTATATATACCAATAGATGTTTGCTATTAGAGGACATGCGATGTTATAAGGTCATGACAATTATATCACTTAGTTTTTAAAATTAAGATGTGTGCCTTTAAGGCTAAAAGTCTAATTACTGCTAAGTAACTGCTGTATGAAGTCATGCGTTTCACTGTTGTTCAGAATGCAGGTCACATTAGGATTGCTTGTCTTTCAAGTAGAAGACTGCTACAGTCAAATTAAAAGCTCCAGATATTTTCACTCTTGAAACAGTGGGGAGCTTATCAAACATTCCAAATGACTATCTCTATTTGTACTTTGCCCTGAAAAATGTGCGCTGTCACTGGACAGATCATATAAAAATGAATATAATTGGTAAATTACTGCTGACACCACTGATGGTAATTTCAGATAATTCCACAAAGTAAGGAACATTATTCCATATAAAACAGTTATTTATAACATGAAGGAGACAAAAACTGACTGCTGTTAGGTATGCACAAGGAGAATTTATGCATATATCACTCAACAAACAGCAGATATTCTTACTGGAGTATTTTCCGTTCTGGGAAAATTTCTAATTTCTTTACACTTTATTTTAAAGAATGTCAGGGAAAAGTAATGCAGTCAAAACGAGTGCTAGATGCATTAAATTTATCAAAATAAATTTGGCATTTCTAAACAATACAATGATCAAACGTATGGAAGAAATTGTAAAGTCACGTTAATGTAACATTTCAATTCAACAATATCTTATATTTAAACAGCACAACTAACGGAGCCCCCAGTAGTTTCACAGGAGTGCTATCAAACAAAATTAACGTCAAGCCATAAACATAAAAGAAATACTAGGACAGATTACCAAAGGTTTAGTCAAATTATTTTAAGCAGTATCTTAAAGGAGGACAAAGACAGAGAGAAAGATATGGAGCAAATTCCACGGTTAATAGCTTCTTGAGTGAGGGGTACAGCCACTATTGATAGGCAATTAACATTCAGGAATGCTCAAGAGTCTAGAATTGGAGGAGATCTCGTTGAGTCATAGGCCGGAAGAAGGTTAGACATGTAGGGAAGTTGTGGAGAGATTTAAAAATCAAGATGAAAATTTTAGAATTGAGCCAGTAATTAACCAGGAACCAATGTCGGTCAGCAAGGTGACAGGTGAATCAGACTTGGTATGATTTAGGAGTTTAGGCAGTAGAGTCCTGTGTGACTCCAGCTTTTTGCAGCGTGGAAGTTGGAAAGCCAGCTCGGAGTATACTGGAATAGTCAAGTCGAGGTAACAAAGCATGGTTGAGGCCTTTATCAGCAGATGAGCTGAGACAAGAGTTTATTGTTACAGAGCAGGAAACTGGCAGTCTAAATTGTAGCACAGGCATGTGGTTGGAAACTCATCTTTTGGGCCAAATACAATCACAAGGTTGTGTACGGCCCGAAATAAAAACAGAACTCCTGGGAATACTCAACAGGTCAGAATACACTCGGAGCTGGAAACAGAGTTAGTAATTCAGGTGGATGACTTTTCATCAGAACTGTAAATAGCCTAGAACAGCCTTAGGCAGCTGCCAGGGAGAGGAATGGTGTCAAGAGTTAGGGAATAAGGCTTGTTTGGACACCAAAGACAATGGCCTTGGCCTTCCCAATATTTAGGAGGGTAAAACTTCCGGTTATGCAGTGTTGAGTACTGGACAAGCAGGGTAACAATTTAAAGACAGAAGTGCAGAAATAAAGGTTATAGTGAGGTACAGCTGGTGTCATCAGCGTCTATGTGGAATCTGACACTGTGTTTTCAGATTACACCACCAAGGGGCAGCATGCAGATAATAAATAGGAGTCAGATACTTAGGTGAAACTAGAGATGGCGGTATGGGCAGAGAGAAGCTAATGCAGACAACTGTCTGGATAGAAATGGATGGGAAATGAAATGAAAACAGACAAGTGAAGTCCCACACAGCTGGACAACAGCAGAGAGGTTAGGATGGTGGGTCAATCATGTCAAATGTCGCAGACAGGTCAAGAAGGATGAGGCAGTACAGTTCACTTTGATCAGTTCACATGGGATGTCATTTCTGAACTAGATAAGAACATTGTCAGTACCATGGCAAGGGTGCAAATTTTATCAGAGGTTCAAACATGGAGTTCTGGGAAAGATGGATATAGATTGGCAGCAGCATGTTCAAGGTCTTTAGAGAGAAAAGCAAGGCTGGAGATGAGACAAGTAATTTGCAATGAGGGAGAGAGTTAAGGCTTTTTTTAAAGGGGGTGATGATGGTAAATTTGAAGAGGAAGAGTATTGAGGAAGAGCCATTAACAATCTCACCTTATACAGGTTGGTGGTGGTGGTGATGGGGTGGGGGGGAGGGGGAAGAATGTCAATCTGTCATTTGATGGGAAAGGGGTAAAGAGCAGGAGATGAATCTCATGGACAAATGAGCTCAGCGAGAACATGACGGAAAATAGGAGAGGAAAAAAAAAGATACAAGTTCAGGAAACCTTAGAGGAAACTTGGCCCAGTGGACTAGGAAAGAAAGCAGTGAAGGCAGTTGCGCATATGCTCATCATCTCAGTGACAATGAAACTTCTTGCCTTTGTAGTTAGAGTTGAGGGTGGAGAAGGCAGAGAACAGTTAGTAAAGAAGGTTTGCAGTGGTGCCTTTGCATTTGAGGGTGACTGTAGAATAGCCAGGTAGCCAGTTTTGGCAAAGGAGAACAGGACCTGCTAATACTTTAGTAGGAACTGCCAATGCTGGAGAATCTGACATAACAAGGTGTAGAGCTGGATGAACACAGCAGGCCAGGCAGCATCAGAGGAGCAGGAAAACTGACGTTTCGGGTCTGGACCCTTCTTCAGAAAATGAAGAAGGGTCC